CAGGGTGTCCATTCTCTCCTCACCAAATATTACAACATTCACTATTTACTTTAAATTTTTTGAAACTGGACGCGCAGGGTTTGTCTGCTGCAGATCGACAATGGACCCGATGGGCTGCCTTAGTGAGATGAAGGAATCCTAAGACTGGAGTGGCCGGGCCCCGACCCGGTGTTAGTATGGGGTCGAGGGAGTGTTTGTGTTTTTCCTAGAGATGAGCTCACACCTCGATGGCTACCCTCCCAACTCGTTGGGGACTCCCCGGGCACCGAGTCCACCACCAACCTCCCTCACTGGGCAGTTCAAGCGTCTCAGAATCGACCACCACCCGCGTACGACACCATTGAGGATGCCCAAAAGAGCCAAGGGAACAAGGAAGGCGAGCCTGCCGACGTGGAGCCAAGTGAAGAAGCTAACGTCGGAGGCGGAGGACCTGGTGACCCTATGTGGGCCGCCTCAGACCCCTGACCATCTTTCTGTAGCTATGTTAGCCTTGCTTTCTGTGCAGTCTGCATCCAGCCATTGGAGGAAGCCTCGGATCCTTGCAAACCGCTGTGCATGAACTGCGCCTAAAACACAAAGAAGGGGGAGATGTAAGAGGCCGTGGGGCTACAGGAAAGGCCTGACCCCACTCTGAGTCATGTAAAGGACATGAACTTGGCTTGCACCCCCGTTCTTGCGATCTATGCAAGCAGACATTTTGTCATAGCAACTGTTTTTCATAGCAACTGTCAAACATAGATGGAACTAGACAAAGCTTGCCCAGCCTGCAATGATCTGCTACTTCCCCATCAGAAGCCAAGCCCTAACAGTGATCTATGAAGCATGACCAGCCACAGCTTAGCTATAAAACAGTGTGTGTAAAAAATAAAGTTGCTGGTGCCGTGTGCCAGTCCTCCTAAACCCCGGTCTCTGGTGCTTTCATCCCATGCCTTCAATACACTACGGGACCATTTGGGAGCGGGTCTCCACAAGGCAGGAAACAAGGACACTTTTCTTCATGTTGCCATGTTCACAACAGAGTAATAGAGGAACAAGGCCCCCAGAGATTAAGGCCCACTTTCTGACACTCTGGCTTGGTGGGCAGGGCTTCTTGTGCTCCCAGCAGCTCTTAAAGGGAAAGGGGAGCCCATCACTCACCCAGACACCATCTTCCACCCAATAAACAGCTGCTGCTACTCCAGGGAGCAGGGTTTTCACACGAGACTCCTGGAGAATCTGGGAGGTGACCCCTCATTCCCTGGTTGTGCCTATCAGCCATTCCTAAAAGGAGGTCAGTGGTAGCCATGGGAATAGAGGTGTTTCTGGGGCTTGCCTTGCTTACTTACACCTGAAATTACAGGATCCATTGAAAATGCACCTTCTGCACAATAGAAATGTCTTCAAGAAGTCAGCAGTGTTACAGTGAATCTGAAGTCCTGGAGAGCCAGATGGGGCCGGAAGAGAAGTCAGTGAGTTGAATATAACCTAAAACATCTCCTTTCAACTCACATAAGAAAAGTCATAGGTGAGGGCAAGGGTTTCAAAGGGTGCCTTCTCTTCTGACCATGCCTCAACCACACTGGAAACTCACCAGAATCTGCTTACAGAAAAAAAGAAAGAAAAAACTTAGCTATTCCATGTTAGGAGCAATCCCTGTTTGGGGAAACTTCCAGAAGATTACTGTGCATCTGTCTGGGCATGCATATGGGCTCATTCTCTCCAAGCTGCTTTTCATTCACAATCTCCCTCTTTTGTAGAAATGTGAATTCCTACTCCTAAAGGTCTATTACCATTTAGAGAGCAACATTTTTCTGAATATTCCACACGAACATTATGTGAGTAACAACAAACCGTGATAACAAGCTTCAGTAATGTTACCCCACCTTGACATGTTCACTGTGGGATCTGTGATAGGAAGCCCATGGGAGGGAGAGCATGCAAGCTGTCTTTTCATTTACCTTGTATTTCTTCTGGATTTTATGGGAATCTACAGAAGGCAGACATTGAACTGTGTCTATAATGCTCCTATTGGTATATTTTCCTCAGGTTCAAAAGGCTTCTCAATGCCTAGAGGAACTTAGGACATTGGACGAAATCAAGAAGAGTTTAATTGAGAAATGTTACCTCCAAGTGGAGAAGTTTGTGTTGGACATGGATCTCATTTTTGAGGACCCCAGGATAATTGGCTCTCCCTGCTTCCATTTCATTTTCTTTCCATTAAGTCACTCTGACCACATTTCCTGGTGCTAGGAAATTTTAAAGTTTCCCTCATCCTATGGCAAACCTAAACAGCAAGGATTCAGGAAGTGACTGGGTTTTTAATTGAGGATTTAAGCTCACCAGAGAGAGTAACAGTGAATAAGGAGTTGTGCCTGCAACCAGACTCCAGGCCCCTGGGAGCTCATTCCTCTCCTCAAAAGTGACAGGTGACCATTGAGGACAGTGGTGTGCCCCCTGTTCAAAACCTAAGGAGAAAATTGCTTTCTAAAGTCATGTTATCCTTCTTACCTCTCCCCAAATATACTCAATCAGACCTCTCAAAGGCCCCAAACTGCAGATTTCTTTGCATATAAATGAACCATATAACATATCACCAGAGGGGAATAGAAGTGGCCACCTAAAAGGAGGATCACTGATTGTACATCTGTAAAATTTGATTGTTACTAAGACATTAGATTGCTTTTCTAACTCTCACTGAAAGAAACAACCCAAAGCCAATGACTGAGAGTCCTCAGTGTAGTAATAATTCCCCGTTTCCGACTAGACAGCAAGGTGTAATCACAGTCATTGGAAACAAAAATTACTCTTAGCGGCTTGAGTTCCTAACTTAACCTGGTTAATGTAACTTCAGTGTTTAAGACAAGAGTCCTGAACTTTTCAAATGTAAGTTGTCTAATGACACTGATATTGAGTGTCATTATATTTGTCTCTGTGTTGCTTTCTTTCCCCAGCACAATGCCTCAGACCTAACAGAGGAGGAATTTAAGAAGAATTTCCAAGATGTCTTTGCTATCCAGAAAACAAATCAGAACAGTTCACTGGTGTAGTGGATGCTCTTGATACACTGGAAAATCCTGCTTTCAGGCATATTTCTCATCCCCCAGCTGCTATGAGTGTTGGTTGCTGATCACACCTCTCCCCAATGTATTGCTTTGGGCCAAATGGAGGCAGAGTCACTTGAAGGTTACATCTCTTTGTGCTGGGGGTTCGTTCCCAGCACCAAGTCTGATCTAATCATGTGAAGTGACTCATGTTCCTGTGCTATGACCACATCCTTGCTTAGCATTTCTCACTGTGGTATTCTGCTTCCCTTATCCCTCCTCCTCATGAGAGAATTCTCACAATAAATCACTTAATGAAGACACTTTATCTCAGGCTTTGCTTTTATGGAACCCAACATCACATAATCATCTTAGCAAGCCAGCCCTAAGGATAGAGTTCTGAGTTGGATCACTGTCTATCCAGATGATAACAGATAGAATATTGATAATCCATGGGGTACTAAAACAGTGCTGTTACAAAAATATTCCCCTGTAGGAAACTGAATGAGATATAGGGAAGAGGTACTGCTGCAGTGGTCTAGCATTTACAAATAAATAGTAACTATCAGAACTGTGTAATTAGATGGCTATTACTTTTTTAAAAACCTTTTTTAAATATGGTTTTATTGATTTCAGAGAGAGAGGGGGAAAGAGAGAGATAGAATCATACATCAGCTGTACTACCCCTTCTGAGGATTGAGCCCACAACCCAGGCATTTGCCCTGACTGCAATCCAACTGTGACCTAGTTCATGGGTCGACCCTCAACCACTGAGCAACACAGGCCTGGCTAGATGGCTATTTCTAAGCACCATTAAAGTGTTTAAAAGAGTGCATGACAGGGTCACATATAGTAACTAGAGGCTCAGTGCACAAATTCGTGCACCAGTGTGGTCCCTGGGCCTGGCCTGCAGAATCAGGCCAAAACTGGCTCTCCAAAACCCCAAGGGGTCCCGGATTGCGATAGGGTGAAGGCCAGGCCAAGGGAACCCACGGTGCAGAATCAGGGCCAGGGAGAGATGCGGGAGGTTGGTCAACTGAGGAGGGACCCCAAGAGGGCTCCAGGGCGTGTCCAGCCCATCTCGCTCCGTCCTGATAAGCCAGACCCCAGCAGCAAGCTAAACTATCAGTTGGAGTGTCTGCTCCCTGGTGGTCAGTGCACATCATAGCGAGTGGTTGAGTGGCTTTAGCATTTCATTAGCCTATTACACTTAGATTGGTTGAATGGCCAACTGGTGGACCAGACACTTAGAATATTGGGCTTTTATTATATAGGATTACCACCTGAAACTGGAAGGTACACAATATGTAATTCTGGTACATGCCCTCATTTTAAGAATGACCAAATTTCTGCTCACCTTGAGTGTCTCAGTTGGTTGAGCATCCTCCTGTGAAGAGAAATATTTGTCAGTTCAATTCCCTGTCAAGGCACATACCTGAGCTATGGGTTTAATCCTGGGTCAGGATGTGTATGAGAGGCAACTGATTGATGTTTCTCTCTCATATCTAGGTTTCTCTCTGTCTGTCTTCCTCTGTCATGCCATGTTCTCGGGTGAGGATTTAAAAATAAAAAAATAAAAAAAAGAATGGTAGAACTTCAGAGAAGACTGAATTCTAAGCTCAGGGTGGCCTCTTGTGCCAAAGTCAAATCCCTGATAAAGAAAGCATGAAGTCACAAAACTCAGAGTGGCTTTCTGAGAACTCTGAATTCTACATCCTTCTGAATCCACTGTCCCTCAAAAGAGACCCCAGCCTCTGTTGGTATACAGACCACTGCCCTACCCACCATCTTCCTTGAACTAAGATTATGCAGAGTTATCTCAGCATGACCAAACGAGGAATATACTAGATGAGCCTGCTAGCTGAAGAGAAATTTACTCCAACAGACCTGCAGGTCTAACCCACATGTACTAACAGCAGTCAGGAGATTGTGTGTGGAAGTGAACCCTGGAAACACTATGTTAGAATATAAAATATGGATGAGGGATGTTCATACAGGCACACTCTCCTGGGCCACAGAGCTTAATTAGCCTGGCAAGGTCCAAAGGCAATGATTTTAATATGCTCCCAGGTGGCTCTTAGAGGCTTGCTATAGCACAGTGCACACCAGATGAAGTGGACTAAGAAATACAAGACTTTCAGGGCTGAGCATTTAAAGGGGGGATCCAAAGTCTTAAGAAGATATCGTGGCTCTACTCTCTAAAATTAGATATTCCATCCATCATGTTACTGCGTCCTCAGATGCCTCAGAGACACCACCTTACAAGGCAATAAGGAATGCACTGCTGAGACAGCAGCTGCATCCTTGAAATGTTCAGTCCAGACTGTCCTATGTACGTTGGAAAAATGTAGGAATAATTTACAGAGCTGGATTCCCTAATAACGAATTCAGTGATAGGTCTCCAGAATAACTGAAGCTAAGGTGCAGTATTAATTGATGATTAATTTGTATAATGGCCAGCAAGCTTAGAATCACAACCAGGGACCCTGGCCCATAGATGTCTAAGAAATTAGCTACTAGAAGACACTATTCTTAGAGGCAAGACACATGAGCAGTTAACAAGGATATTGCTTTTTATATGTCATCAAAAGAGATTATAGATGATCAGATGGTTGAAGTGTTACTTCAATGAAAAGACTTGCCCACTTTCCAGGCCTCAGCCAATTCTTGACCCAGAAGCTGTTGATGGCAGTTCTTATAAGAAAGGACTGTGCAATATACACAGTAGTAATTCCATGAGTTCGTCACTAAAGGCACCTTTAGCCATTTATTCAAGTAACTATATGCGAGACAAAGAAAACTCACAGAAATTTTAAGAGTTATTGATAAAGTATATGAGTTGATACCTTGGGACCCAAGACACCATAGTGGCCCCTCTTAGGCTACATGGAGATAAGGTCATGTCCATCCCACAGTGAGTCCACTCAATCCATAGAGCCACCCAGCATTCATTTCCCAAATACCAAACGTATAATCAGGACAAACAAATTGTTTTGTTAATCAGGGATGTCTTAACCTATGAAATAACAATGACTGTCCTAGGAAAGACCAAATGAAAGGCTCTGAAATAGAACTTTTACACGGTGAACACAGTAGGCTAAAAGCAGTATTGCATTTCTTAGGAAGGAGGGAATGACAGAGGTTGGTGACACTGCAAAGATTGAAGGAATGAAAGGTTTATAATCCCCTTTACATCTCCGTATGTTTTAGCAATATGGTTTAGGAAAAACCTAGGTGCTTTCTGGCTACTAGATAATGACTAGAAACTTAAGAAAGTTAGGGCTTATAGACTCAGCAATGAGACCTTAGTAGACTGCATTCTTGCTTGTAGTGGTCCCTAAGGTGAGATCCCAAGTAGTAGTTCTGCCCTTCTGAGGGCCAAGCCAATGGTTCCATCTAGCCAGAGCTCAGTTGGGAGTTTTATCTGATTTGGATCCTCAGTCAGAACATACCAACCAAGGAACCCATTCCTACCATGCCTAACCAGAGAAACACTGCAGGGTATAGCTCCAGTCCTAGCCATTTAGAAGGCTTGATCAGAGAACCCAGGCAGCCATGGGAGCAAGCTTTTAGTTCAGTTGATCTATGGAACCAGATCTATAACTCAGTCTAGCAGCAGAACCCAGCCTCTAACCCTGACCAAATGCAGAGTCCAACCACTGGCACCACCATACCACAAAACAACAGCCTGAAACCTCATTCAACAAGAGGTGATTGCTGAGATCAGCAAGTAGACTCATCAAGCCCCAGAGCACAGCCAGCAGTTGTGCCAGATCAGGGAGCCCAACCTATACGTCCACCAAACCACAGAGCTCAGCCATCATCCAAGCAGCAACCTCAGAGCAAAGGCACTGGCCTTCCCAACTGAGACTGTGATGACATGCCTCATCTTCCCATGGATGCTACCAGCTCTCCTGTACTGTATTCCAACCTGAGCTGACTAATGAAGGGATTTTCCTGATGAAGTGAACCTGTAGGTCTGGAAGAAGAGATTGCTTACATATATGCACTGATACTAACACAAGAAATCAAGGATCATGAAGATTCAGGTGAACAGTACACTAAAAAAAACTAAAAAGCTCTAATAACTACCCCTAAAGAAATGTGGATAGATAAATTATCTGAAAAACACTTCAGAATAATCCTCTGAAAGAAATTCAGTGAACTACAAGACATTATAGACAACTCAATAAAATAGAAAAACAAATGAGCAAAACAAGAAGCTCACCAAAAAGAAAAAGAAACTATAAAAATATCCTAGAACTGAAGAATACAATAACTGAACTGAAGAATTTAATAGAGAGATTTAACAGCAGACTCGACAAATAGAAGAAAAAAAATCATTGCACTAGAAGATAGGTTATTTAAAAGTACTTATTCAGAGAAGGAAAGAAGAGTGAAGAATGCCTATAGGATTTGTGAGACATTATTAAGAAAATCATATACTCACTAGAGGTCCAGTGCATGAAATTCGTGCATGGGTTGGGTAGGGGGTGGTAGAGAGTGGTCCCTCTGCCCGGCCTGCACCCTCTTCAATCTGGGACACCTCAGGGGATGTCCACAAGGATCAGGCCTAAACCAGCAGTTGGACATCCCTCTTGCAACCACCCACCTGCCCGTCTGCCTGATCACCCCTAACCCCTCTGCCTGCCTGCCTGATTGGCCCTAACCCCTCTGCCTACCTGCCTGATCACCCCTTACTGCCTCTGCCTGACTGCCTGATGTCCTTACTTCTCCTCTGCCAGCCTGAACACCCTTAACCACCCTCCCCTTCCAGCCTGATCACCCCTAACTGCTCTCCCCTGCCGGCCTGATTGTCTTAACCGCTCTGCTTGCCTGCCTTCCTGATCATTCCTAACCACCTCTGCCTTGGCCCTGCCACTGTGGCTTTGTCAGGAAGACATCTGGTCTATCTGGTCTAATTAGCATATTACCCTTTTATTCATATAGATTATGGGAATTCCAAAGGCAAAAGTTAAGAAAAGGACAGAAAGTCTATTTAAAACAATAATGGCTAAAAACTTCCCATGTTTGGGGAACAAAATTGACTTTCCCTTTCATGAAGCACAATGGACCCAACAGGTAGAAACTGAAAAGGGCTACACAGACACACTTTACAATTAAATTGTCAAAAGTCAAAGCCAAAGAGAGAATTTTAAAAGCAGCAAGAAAAAGGTGACTTATCACATGCAAGAAAGTCCCCATGAGACTATCAGTGACATCTGAATGGAAGCCGCTCCTGCTGAGGCTGCTGAAGCCCCCCTCTTTGCTATGCCCTTTGTTCCATGTCCCTCCCCAGTCACTGCCTGTCCTGATTTT